CCCTCCCTGGTGTCCCCATCTCTTCCCAAGGGTCCCCATCCCCCTCTGGTCTCCCCACCCCTCCCTGATGTCCCCATCCCTTCCCAAGGGTTTCTATCCCTCCCTGGCGTCTCCATCCCTCTCCAAGGTCTCCATCTCTCCCTGGTGTCCCCATCCCTCTCCAAGGTCCCCATATTTCCTTGGTGTTCCCATCTCTCCCTGGTGTTCCCATCTCTCTCTGGTGTCCCCACCCCTCTCCAATGTCCCCATCTGTCTCCAAGGTTCCCATCCATTCCCAGGCTTCCTATTCCTCCCCAAGGTCTTCCCACACTTCACAAGGATCCCCCCTCCTCCCTGGTGTCCTCATCCATCTCCAAGGTCCCCACCTCTCCCTAGTGTCTCCATCCCTCTCCAAGGTCCGCATGCCTCTCCAAGGTCCCCATCCTTCTCCAGGGTCCCCATCCCTCCCTGGTGTCCCCACTTCTCCGCGGTGTCCCTTTGCTGTCCCCACCTTGGCGAGCAGCAGGAGCGTGCGGCCGGTGCAGGGCTCTGTGTGAGCACAGTGAAGAAGTGAAGGAAGAGGAACCCACTGATGGAGAAGTACCTCACCTCCTGGGTGGGCACAGGGCCAGCTCAGGGGACAGGGCCAGCTCAGGGGACAGGGCCAGCTCAGGGGACAGGCACAGCTCAGAGCTTGCCGTGGTGCTCCTGGGGCTGTGCAGACCCCAGCCCCACCTCGTGCTGTGCTGAGGGGAATCGCTGCTCCACCCGCCTGCGGAGCTGCTGGAAGGCCACCCTCATAGCGAGGGGACACTTGTCTACCGAGCCCACGGTGGCATCGAGGATGTCCCCCAGGTAGCCCTTCAGCAGCTCCAGGCTGCTCTCCCACACCTGCGCCTCTGACAGGGACCCCTTGAAGCAGATCCTCCTGTGGGGACAGCTCTGGGTCAGGGACACGGGAAATGGAGACACTGAGCTGGCCAGAAGTGGCCCAATAGGTGTCCCCTTCCTGCAGGGGACACAGGGACTTGCCAGGGACATCCACCTGTGCCCACCTGACCTGGCTCAGCTCCATCTTGCCGGGGTCCAGCTCCACATATTTCTTCTCCTCAAAGATGCGGTTCAGCACCTCGTGCAGGTAGGGCAGCGCCACCACCTGTGAGGGGTGGGAGGGCACTGTCCTTGTCCCCAAACGCCCTGCTGGGACATCATGGAGGTGTGCCTTCCCGTGCTCACCTTCATGAACTGCTCCATGGATTTGGAGGCCAGCGAGTTGGAGCGGAAGAGGGTGTTGGGATGGAAGGGCACAGAGGCTGTGGCAAGGTGGGCACAGGGTGATGCCCCAGCTGTCCCCAGTGTGCCCAACCCCAGGGACACATGGCACCTTTCCTGCCTCTCCCTTGGTGTCTTCACTCTTTCTCCATGGCAATCTGGAGTGACCAAGGTTTGGGGTTTCTCGGGGTGGCCCTGGGCACTTACTGGTCCTGGCCAGCTCACGGCTGGTGAGGTAGACCAGGAAGGGCACAGCCAGCCCTTGGCCCAAGAAGAGCTTCACCAACTTGGTGGCCACGTCCTGCCGGCTCTCCACTGAGGCCACCTCCTCCAGGACAGCCAGGGCTGTGCCCTCAGGGGACTGTGGGCAGGGCAGGGTGGGCAGAGCGGGGCCTCACCCAGACCCCACACCAGAGATGCAGAGGTGCCCCCAGCCCCATTGGGGTGTGCCCCGAGCTCCTCACCGGCCCGAGGAAGTCGTTCTTGCCCACGATGTCCCATCCCAAAGCTCCACGCTCAGCACAGCCTCTCCCAGCTCCCCCTCCGGCAGCTCGAACTCAGCACCTCATCCCAGCGCGGGAACGGCGTTTTCTTCACCACCTGCCGGGCACCGGCACTGATGCCAGAGGGAATGAGGT